CTGGAGTTAATATCTGTATTTTTGCGGAGTATGATGTCACATTTTTTAGTTTATCTTTTAATTCATTTAAAAGTGAGTGTAGATTGTCAATTTTATGGTTATCAACTGAAGAAGTTAGTGGTGTACAAGATGGTGTCAATCTAATCATAGAATCAATACTATAAACTTCATTTATTTTGTTTGTTGTTGCTTCAGTTATTCGATCAAATTTTCTTTTGGCAGCTGGTAACCGTTGGTGTTTTAGCACTGATTTAAACTTAATAGGTGACACACCTATAGATTCAGGACTTTCATTGAGAGTTGCACGTTGCTCATGTTTAGTCTCAACCCTGCTATAGCTTTGACCATTTGATTCTAATTTTTGATTTATATTCTGTACCCTTTTGTAACAACTACTGCATAATTTCCATCCAGGTACAACAGGAATATCTTGTGTTTTAAGAGTTATTGCTATTGATAGCGATATCTTCACATTTCCTATATAAAAAAAAAAGTCATTTCTAAAACCTAATATCAATAAAGCATTATTGTAAGGAACATACTAGTATATTTATTAATTTATAAAACAATTAAATTTTAAATTTATAAAAAGATTTTGAATTTTCTTCTTAAAGAAGCATTTGTCTTAATATTTCTTTAGTTTATTTAATTACTATTTGAATCATTCTAATCATCAAAATAATATCAAAGTTTTTACGTTTTTTTTTCGATTTCCATATTTTTAAAATAGATTACAGTGTTTCTAAAATTTTCTTTAAAATGCAACTCCAAAGTGTTGTAAAATGCACTCCAAAGTGTTGCTATGATAATAGCAAACTGTTATAAATAATTTTGCACAAATAAATAAATTAGCTCTCCTTAATAACGGTATTTTTCATCACTTGAAAATGTTGATAGGCCTAAAAGACCTTATCTTCTTGTTAAACCTTGCTTGTGGCTGTCAACATTACATTCTAAATCGAATAGAACACTTTTCCATAATTTTCCAACTTTTAAATGTATTCATAAAATCTAATTTTGAAATATTTTACAAAATAAATCTTCTTTAAAAATACCATTAATATTATTTAATTTATGGTAAATTATTTATACATTTTATTATAATATCCATAAAATGGGTTGTCCCAGTGAATAGCCTATTCCCCCTCCCCCCTCCTCATAATAAATAAGTTAAATAAATTTTATGCTGACTCAGCACATACATACTTTCCTTAAAAGGCTGCATTTTGAAAAGTCAAAAATGCAGTAATATATTTTTTATTAAAATGAAGTTTAATACCTATATTGTAAGTTATAACAATACCTCATTAAAAAATTATCAAGGTGACATCACCATTTTGACTGTCTAAATGCCCCAAAATATATGTTTTTATTATATAATTTACATGTAAATTATATAATAAAGGCATATATTTCGGTGGTCAAAAAAATTATCAATTTGAAATTTGTATCTGCCATGTGGAAGATTGTTGTACAAAATTTTAAGATGATACCTCATTTGGTTAATAAAATATTGCTATTTAATAACAAAAAAGTATTTTGCAAAAAATGCTGAGTCAGCATGAATAATAAAATTGATTCCTGAATATCTCAAGAACTGTAAGGAGTTGGAGGTTCCAAATTTCAGATTTTCCTAATTTTCATAAACTCTATAACATATAAAAAAAAAATTAGCAAAATCCAAAATATGGGGTGGCATGAACCTGATTTGACATGGAATTACTTACCCTTCATTCAATTTATTAAATATAGCTAATTAAAAAAAAAATCTTCTTGCAAAAAATGCCTAATCAAATATAAGATAGGCAAATTTAAAAATTATCCCGAGAATTGTTAAAAACTTGTTTTCTAATAAAATATTAAGACTGTAAACAATTTTTTTTTTTTTTTTTGGATTTAGTGGAAAAATAATGCAAATTTTTTATTTTTTATTCTGATTTACTCCCAGCAAGGCTGCAAGCAACCACTATTAAATTGGGAATTACTAGAAAAAAAGAATAAAGTAATAGAGCAAGGAAACGATTGACAAATATAATTGATTTCACTATAAATGAAACAAAACCCAAGGTATTTATGCTTTAATCTACTTAACACGTTTACAGCCAAACCTGTTTTAGCAAAGCATTATTACACTGCCAAGCCGTAAATTATACGATATTAAATTTCTGCCGAGGCTGTTTTGCGTGGTTTTCTCACTGCCAAGGCTAGATATCAACATTTCAATAAATAACATTTTTTCTATCAAACATAATTTAAAAGCATTTTTTATTCTGAATATAAATTAGAAAAAAAAATCACTATGAGTATACTTGTACTTTGGCAATGAAGAAGAAATTTTTTTCGCCAATGCCAAAGTACGAGTATACTTGTAAGCGTTTTGTAACAGCAACTGTTGCAGTGCAGAGCAATGCAACTTATTTGATGCATTTAGATTTATGTTTTGATTTTTCTGCATGTAATTACCGATAATCATGAATAGAAAAGTTATTTTATCAATGATTTTTGACTATTTTTATTATTTTTTAAAATTGTATTTATCATTTTGGTTGTTTTATTTATTTTTGCAAATAATAAATATACACATATATATTAAATTTTTTTTTATATATAAATATGTAAAAAATATAAATAATAATAAATATACACATATATATTTCCTTTTAGTTCATCAAAGATATTTTGCAATTGAAGCAGCAAATATAATTATGGAGGAGCGTTTTGATAGCGAAAATGATGACCCTGATAATGGAGATTCGGATTCACTTTTTTTAAGTTCTATACTGAATCAGAGTCTAAATCTGAAGTCAGTGAAGCTGACAAAAGTGATATGCATCAGTCAGATATTTATTTAGCAGCCTGTGCAGAGGAGTCTGCACTGGCTGCACAACCACCAAAAAGAGCAAGAACAAGAAGAGGAATTCGTTGTATAACAATTCGAAAGAATGTTCACCAATGGAAAGACGAGCCAACCGTTGTACAAAGTTTTCAATTTAATGGCCAACCTGGTTTAAAGTTCCTTATGGAAAGTAAGAATCCAATGGTTTTTTTAAAGCTATTTGTTACGGATGAGCTTCTAAATACAAAGGTTGTAGAAACAAATTGCTATGCAACCCAAGAAATCAAAAAGTGCGTCCTCTTAGAAGAAGTTCTAGATATAAAGATTGGAAGCTATTGAACACAGAAGATATGCGACAATATCTCGTAATTATTCTGCATATGGGATGTGTCAAATTACCTTCTATTGACCAGTACTGGGTTAAGAACAGTCTTTATAGATTTCCATTGTTTTCAAGAATGTCACAAAATAAATTTCAGTTATCGCTAAGTTTCTGGCATTTTGTAAATAATGAAGATTTATGTAACAGACGTTTGAATAAGGTTAAGGTACTTCTTGATCACTTAAATAATAGAATGGATGAAATATACTCTCCCGATAAAAAAATATTTTAATTGATGAGTTGATGATGCTTTGGAGGGGACATCTCATATTCAGGCAATACATTAAAAACAAAAAGCATAAGTATGGGGTCAAATTGTATGAACTTTGCGAATCTGATGGTATTGTAATAAAAGTAAAAATCTATTCTGGAGAGGCAACTCCCGATGAGCACTTATTGGTTCAAAATTAAAAAAGGGAGACGTTGTGAGCAGAAGCAAGGAAGGTGTAATTGTGGCTAAATGGAAAGATAGAAGAGACGTTTCAATGATTAGCAACATGCATTCATTAGAGATCGTTGAAGTGACAAACAGAAGAGGTGTAAAGAAACTTAAACCCAATATAATTCGAGGTTATAATAAAGTTATATCAGGAGTTGATCAAGCTGAACAATTGGTATCTTATTATGACTGTCTAAGAAAAACCACTAGATGGTATAAAAAAGTAGCTATTCATATTTTCGATATATTTGTATTTAATGCTTACTGCCTTAACTGCAAGTATGGAACAGATAAAGCAATCTCCTTGCTTAAATTTCAGGAAATAATTGTTACCGATTTATTGGGTGAGCACTTAAACGAAGAAACATTGATTCTTTGAGTCAACAACAACAAACTTCATTATTTGGTTGCTATACCACCAAATGAAGTGCAGAAATTGCCCACAAAACCTTGTTGTATTTGTTCTAAAATGAAACGTAAGGAAACACGCTATCAATGTGTTGTATGTGAAAAAAGCCTTCGTTATGTGTTGGCGAATGTTTTAAAATATACCATGTAAAATAAAAGGTTTTTAAAATAATTTTCAAGAAAAAAAACCTTAATACTAAACATATAATACTTTTATATATTTTAAGTTTGTTATATCTTTATCCCAATTTATATAAAACACAGGGCTTTACGAAGTTCAAGTCTATAACTTAGTTATTTCTAAAATCTATTCTAAAGTTAAAAAAAAGATATTATATGAATTAACATAGCTAAACATTGTTAGAATTAAATTTTTAATATGTTAGTTAAACTACAAGTATACTCATAGTTGGCCGATTTTTTATGCATGCATTCTACAAGTATACTCGTAGTTAGCCAAAAAATAACGGTTTTTTACTACAAGTATACTCATAGTTTGCCAAAAAAAAGAAAAGAGGTATTTTTTGTTTAATTTTTAACTGAAAGCTGATATGCCTAATGTTGTGCAAGCATTTTTAATAAGGGAAAACCCAGTGTGATTGTGTAAACAAAATTGTTTTAAAAAATTTGCGATTAGTAACATTTATCATTGAAAACAGATTGTTTTATAACAAAAAAAAAAAGCAGATTCATTAATGTAATGTAAAAAAAATGTATTCATGGAGATTCATGAAGTTAATATTAACTTTTCAACTGAAAGTATAATGGCAAAACAAATGTTTTTTGTTAATATCTCAATAAATAAATTGTTTTAGTAATTTTAATAAAGTCCAAATTTATTTTCTAATATTTATTTACAAAATAAACGTATCTTCTCCTGGCACTTGGGAATCCTATTAAATAGAAAAGTGTCAAAGAGCTTCAATCTTTTTTAGGAATAAGCAATCTTGCTTTTCGAACAATAAGATGTCTTCATGTTCAAGGAAATATTTCTATGCCTCCATGTGATTTTAAACCTGAACCATATGATGTAAGTACTTTTATGTTTTTGATTAGCTCTTTTTAAATATATTATTTTTAAGCATACTATATTTTATTTTGAGTGTATATTTGAATCATTTTTATTAAGAGTATTAGCTATGACAAAGTTAGAGAAATCAGACAAAAGCACATGGTACCGGGTCTTTTAACATATTACAAAAAGCCTGTTATGGTTCATCAAGTAAATATTTATGATATTTATATAAATATTTTTTTTTTATTTTTATTTTAAATAGCTAGTTAATAAACATGTATTTTTTTTCTAAAACATCTTAGGGCCATAAACAATGGTTATTTGATTATGATGGAAAGCGTTATTTAGACATGTTTGCTGGTATTGTTACAGTTGGTGTTGGACATTGTCACCCGTAAAAGAATTTTTAATGTTTTTTTGGATTATGCTTTATGATCAGTATTATCCAAATATTTTATTTATAGAAAAGTTGAAGAAGCAACCTTTAAACAAATGAGAAAATTGTGGCACACAACAAATATATACTTACACCCTAAAACTCATGAGTATGCAGAAAAACTTGCATCTAAAATGCCTGGAGATCTTAAGGTAAAGCTATTTTTTTTAAGTTTTATTTTTTATTTTTTGGCATAGCTAATTCATAGAAATGGTTAATTATGAATCCAAATTACGGAATAATTATGAGTCCAAATTACGGAAATTTTATTTAAACATTGTAACTTATTATTTGAAATTTTTATTTTAGTTTTGATAAATAAAAATGAGTATTAACAAATAAAAATATGTAAAAACAGGTAGTATATTATTGCGATCAAGTTGAATATTTATTGGATCCAATAAATTTTTTTTTATCTAAGTACTGTCTGTATCTGTGTAAGAAAGTATATTTACAATATACTGAAATGAAACTAATTAAACTAATTAATGTTGTATAACATTTATGGTGTTCTGAAGCAATTTTATTTTGGATAAATACAAATAATTCATAAAGTTACCAAGTTTTGTATAATTATTCCTTAGTCGTCAATGGTTGTATCTAAAAGCCGGCCCGGCCCAAAAACCTAAAACCCGGCCCGGTCCAAACTTAAAGCTGACTTTTCTTTATTTTGCTAAGTGTCTTTGTTTTTGCAAAAGAAATACATTTGTTTACCTTTTTATTGGTTAAAGATTTACAAACTTTCAAATGTTGTTTAAAAATCTGTAAATTTTTGGTTTTTAGAATTTTTTTTACTACTTCCTTTTACATATTATGTAAAAGGAAGTAAAAATAAATTCTTTAGAGTGTCTGTCTTATAAAATTGTACCATTTTTACTGCATTATCCAAGAAGCAATGAGATAATTACTGAAACCAATATGTAGGTGTTTGGGTTTATATAATACTTAGAAAATCATTTTAACTGCATTTTCATGGAAGTACTGAAACCAATAATTTATGCTAGACTTGTACAATGCATGTGCGCTAACGTTGATAACAAAGATACATATGACATCCCGTTTTGTATTGAACTCTTGGTGCTCTTTTAAAATGGTCACAATACAATCAGTGCAATCGTTGGTGTCATAATGCCTGCGCACCGTGTCAGTCTTCTCACAAAACATTTTTGTTTAGCCAATGCATTTGAACAAAAAAATACTATGCTAATGGTTCATGTTATTTAAAACTTCCTTTATTATTGTAAAGAAAAAAAAAATTTATAACAAGTATTTTTATTAGTAGTAAACTTTGTGTAATAATTATATTAGTTTGTTTCTTTATTAAAAAAAATAAGAATCTTATCCTGGCCGGGTTTTAGGTAAATAAAAATGAGAGAATACCACAAAAAAGAAATTGTGTGAATATCACTGAGAAATAATTAAAAGTTAAATCTTGAAAACCATTGTGCAACATGATAAAATATTTATTTTAATAAATTTATTAATTTTGTTAGTTTGATTTTTATATATATATATATATATATATATATATATATATATATATATATATATATATATATATATATTTATATTTTATATATATATGTATATATATTAATTACTTTTCATTTTTTTTTTTTTTAATTTTTAAAGTTATGTTTGAACAAAACATTGTTTACAAATAGCAATAACTCAATATTATTTTATACTTTAACAGGTTGTTATGTTTTTTAACAGTGGAAGTGAAGCCAATGACATGGCAATGATGCTTATGCGAGCATATACAGGAAACTGGGATATTATTTGTCACAGGTTTTTATTACTATGTAATTTTTTTTTTTTATCTAAATTAAAATAATAGTAATAAAAATAATATAATTTTATATAGAAACTCATACCATGGAGCTGGTCCTCACACTCTTGGAATACTATCACATTCTAATTGGAAATACAATACGCCACTAGGTTTTGGGTGTCATGCTGTATGTTATTGCATTTCTCTAACTATTGTTTTAAATAATTTTTTTTTTTTAGGTAGGTAGGTGTCAACCTTAGTTTCAAATTTATAAAAACCTTGACTCAAAACACTTTTAGTTAGTGTTCTTAAAGATGATGATTATGCCGTATTCTTTTCTAGGTGTTTTATACAGCTTTTTACATTAAAAATATAAAACAGATTTAATAAAATGTGTTTTATTGTCTGTATGAATAGGGTAATAAATTTTACTATCTACTCTCTTTTGTTGTTCTTATTATAGATTAAAAAAGTTTTTTTCATGTTTATTAAAACAGTTTTTTTCATATGTTCATTAAAACAGTTTTTTTCATGTTTGTTAAAACAGTTTTTTCATATGTTCATTAAAACAGTTTTTTTCATATGTTCGTTAAAACAGTTTTTTTTTCATATGTTTTTTAGATTTCTGTTTTTCAATCTGTTTCAAGTTTTTAACTATCTGTATTTTTATATGTATATTTATATAAATATATAGGGTAAAGCTTCTGTAAAAAACTGAGATGAGCTATGCCAATTGTATATCAAACAGATATAAGATTTAAATTGAAATATTTTTTATGACATCTTTATACTTTGAATGTGGATTGCATTAATGTTTCTACATAATTGCATTTGAAGATTTTTTTTTTTTTTTTTTTTTTTTTTTTTAATCTAAGTCTTTTTTTTTTTTGCCCATGTAATATACTCTAATTCTTGGAAGATTATTAGATGGATTAGTAGATGATTAGTAGATGGATAGTAGAGGATTATTAGATGGATTAAGGATTGTAAAATAAAAAGGTTGAGAATTATAAAACATCAGGGAACCTTAAGATATTGGCAGACACCCATATATATGTTTTGTGGATTTAGGCAATAAAGATAACTCAAAAAAAAAATGTTTCACATGTTTTTAAAATTAATATATTAAGCATGAATGTTTTGTTTAACCAAATTTTTGGTTCAGTGTGGTATTAGAAATCTCTTAATAAAACCTTGTTATATCAGATTGGTAATCTGGTATTAAATCCTTGTTCTATCAGATTGGAAATCTCTTATAAAAACCTTGTTCTATCAGATTCGAAATGTGGTTGTTCTATCAGATTAGAAATCTCTTATAAAAACTTTGTTCTATCAAATTGTAAATCTCGTAATAAAACCTTGTTCTATCAGATTGGAAATCTGATAATAAATCCTTGTTCTATCAGATTGGAAATCTCTTATAAAAACCTTGTTCTATCATATTGTAAATCTCGTAATAAAACCTTGTTCTATCAGATATTGGCTACTTAATTTTTATTTATTTAAAATAAATTTATTAAACATAAAAGTTTCTCTTGAGTTAATCATAAATTTGAATAATTGTAAGTTTATCACAAGTACTTTTGCAAGTTTTTCAATATTATTTTCTAATAGCTTTCTGGTCAGGTTTGATATTAACTTAAATTTTTTTTTTTTCTTGTTTTGAAAAAAAAGCTACATCTTGATTTAGACCATGGCTGGTACCAAGTTTGATAAAATAAAGCTGGGTTGGTGTTGGTACCTGGGGCGGGTAAATGTGATAAATCATTATCGATAATTCACTATCTTGCTTGTTTTCATTGTTGATAACAGTCTTTCTTATTTTCTCTTAAGAATCGTAGCCTCACAGAATTTGACTGAAAGTGTTTTCTATGTTTTGATGCAAAGAAAATGCCATTTGATTAGCTTTCTTTATGTTGAAAAGTTTGTTTGTGATATGAATCCTTTCTTAACTACTAACTACGAATGAGGTCACCTCTTTTTCAACTTTCGTGGAAAAAGTATTATAATGAATTTCTTTCGCTCAAAATAAGATAAACAGCCTTGTTTAATGAACTTAAGATGTGACCAAAACATTTAAGTGCTTTTAAACAAGCAAGGCTGCATAAATTTTAAAAGTATGGCTACATAAAAGCTACATAAGTTATCTGAAAATATTTTTTGAACTTTTTTATCCAAATCCAAATTTTTGAATGACGTAATAAACTGTGTGAAACAATACTAGAAAAAATATTCTAAATTTGTATTCAATAGCTGTAAATTTCTGTCTGAATCCACCTAAGTTATTACTTAATAAATAATTAAATATGTACATAATTAAATATGTATATAATTAAATATGTGCATAATTAAATATGTACATAATTAAATATATACATAGTTAAATAAATAATTACCTTTTTTTAATTGTTGCTTTTTTTTTTATTTTTAAAAATAATATAGATGATGAATCCTGACCCTTACAAAGGACCATGGGGAAGTGAAAACTGTAGAGATTCTCCTGTTAAGGTTAAAATATTTTAAAATGGACATTATTGTATGAAATTTAAAAAAAAATAAAGTTATTAAAATATTTTTTTAATGGAAATACTTCCAATTTTTGTTTTATGGTTATTTTAAACTTTTTAGAGTGGATTGCCATGTGATTGTTCACCAGGTACAATATTTAAATCTCACCTGTTACGACATGTTTATTTAGTACAATATTTACTTATTTTAAATTTTCTCTTAAATATGGTTTAACCAGGTGTAGGGTGATTGATAGGTGTAGGTGTAGTCTCTCCATTTTTTAAATATATTTCAAATCAGAAAGTTTGATCAAATTGCCAAAGATGATCAAATTGCCAAGTAAAAAAAATCAGAAAAAAAGCTTTTAGTTTTTGCTTTTTTTTGCAAAAATGGGTATTTTTTTAATTTTGCAATTCCTTTCTTTTTCCCTAACATAGTTATAAAATAAATTCGATTTATCTCATCACAGTGGTGTGAAATTCTAGAATAACATTGTGAAGTTTCACAATAGTGTTATGGTATCTTAAAGTAGTCTAAAACCCCAAAACAATAGTATTATACTTCATGGTAGTGTTACAAAACAATAACATTATACTTAAGTTGATATTTTTTATGTATATTAATGTTTTTTTGCTTTTAACAGGTAAATGTGTAGCAGCCGATGCTTATGCCAAGCAGTTGCAAGATGTTCTAGATTTTAGCGTCCCTAATAAAATTGCTGGATTTTTTGCCGAGCCTATTCAAGTGATTTTTTTTGTTTATTCTTTTATATTGTTGAGAATTCTAGCATTTTATATTTTAAGTTTTCTTGGTGTCTAATGATTTCAAATTTGTACACTAAATAATATATTATGCAGGGTGTTGGAGGTACAGTGCAGTATCCAAAAAACTACATGAAAATGGCTTATGAGAAGATTAGAGAGCATGGGGGACTTTGTCTTTCAGATGAGGTTTTTTTATCTATGGCGTATTGTATTGAAATATAAAATAATTCTTTTTTTCTTGCAATAGCTGTAAATATTCTTTTGCTGTTCATACATTACATGTATGAGTTTTTAAATTACTTATTCACATGTGAGTGAAGTCAGTGTGTTACTACATGATGTATAATGATATTTTAAAGACCTTTTGCATTAAAATGAGATGTTGAGGTATTATTACAGAATTAACCATATATTAAATGATTTTTTAATATCAGTTTTTGCTATAATTTGACATCTTAAAATTACACAAAATTAAATTTAAAAATTGTATAAATTTTAAAGATAATATGAAAAGGATCTGGGTTTAAAGATTAAAATATTTCTAAAAGATTTTATTATAAACAAATGCTGCTAAAAAATAAGATAAATATTAAATAAAAAAAGAGTGAGAATGTAAGTGAAAAAAAAAGGATAAAAAATATTAATGACTTTTCTTTATCTAAATATAGATAAAGAACAATCATCATGAATAAATCTGTAAAAGCATTTTTCATATGTTCTAATAAAAAAATTTATAAAAATGTTTTTCAAACGTTATATTTAAAAAATATTTTATGAATTTATAATAAATAATGGGTAAAAATTTCTTAAAAAACACAAAAAAACACAAATCTGCACCCTATATCACCAAAATTTATGAAACTTGGCACAAATGTTTATAGACATATGTTAGGAAACATTGTAATTTTTTTCCATAAAATTCCTTACCGTTTATAATTTACAGCAATTTGAAGTTTCCTTGATTTTGACTAAAAACTGAGGGGGGAAAAGTGCCGAAAATCATTCCGTTTACTTTCACCTTAATATGGTGCTTGTAGTGATGCCACAATTCTGAAACTTTGTACCAAAAGAGTTTAAAACCTGTTAAATGGGGTAGTGGTGTAGTGGTAGAGCGCTCGCTTCATTAACGAGTGGTTCCGATTTCGATCCCCACCACGTCCCTAGTAGTACTGTGCTCAACTCGTTTCTCCGCGCAGCGGCCTTGTTTATTAAGGTTCCTTTTTTGAAGTTATAGAGTTGAGAGAGGGTTATAACCACAAATAAGTAGCTTCCTCATCTGTAGTGGCCTTTTCGGCCTTGAGGAGGTGAATTAAAAAAAAATTAAAAATAAAAAAAAAATCCGAAAAGTATAGTTTTTTTATATGTCAAAACAAGGGAATGTAGCTTATTTTAAGATCCATAAAATACACTTTATAACGAATAAAAAAGGGCATTGACAATTATAGCTATAAAAAAAATCTGACTGATATAAAAAAAATTTAATTCGATTTTCTTAAAAATAAGATTAACACCTACTTTTGGAACCAATTTTGTTTTGGCCTTATATTTACTTGAGGAATTATTGATGTTTGATATAGACACAAAATTTTTTAATATTTTTAAAATTAAACACTTAATATAACCCCACCTTTTACCAATCAATCAAATTAGAAACTAAAAATTTAGTGACTTTATTATCTTTTTCATTTTCATATGATATTTACAACAAAATTTAAACGTATATGATTTTTTTAAAAAAAATACTAAACCTTAGTGATTTTATATATGCTTTACATTCACATTATTTACAAGTTGGTTCACAAAACATAATATTTAAAAAAAGAATGGATAAAACATAATAGACTCATAAATATAAAAATTTCTACTTCCTTAGAAAAATAATTTTTTTTAAGTCCTCTTTGGCCAAATTCCTGTTTTTGTTATCGGTACCTCAACTTTGCAAATAATGTGGACATCAGGAATCCAGCATTGGCTTTCCATTGGTGTCATATATATTTTACACATAAATTTTACAAGCATATCTTTTTCTTCTAAATTAATATCTTCAATGACTCCTATCCACCACTTTTGCTCATAGGAAACACAGGCATAATCACCTGGTACTAGGTTTACAGTTGTTATCTGAATATTTCCAAAGTCATGAATTAAAGCAAAATCTTCATCAACGCTGCAACAACTTACCTAAACAAAATAGTAACATATGCAATTATTCCGTTTTACTTATCAAACATGTTTTATTAAATGCATAGATAGCAAATGCAGAGGAAATAAAATAAAATACAAATATTTTTGATAATGATTCTGCAAAAATTTAATTTATATTTGAGTTTATCAATAAAAGCTATGCGTTTATTTTAAAATATGGTAAAAGGTATAATTAAAAATAATAATTTACCTTTTGATGGCCAAGTGATACCAACTGATGGTATCTACGTGTTCAAGGTATTGTATTAGCAGTATCCAATCGTACTTTAAGAGCGGTTCTCACCAAAGTTAAATCTTCTGATGAAATATATATGAAATTTATGCCTTCAATGTTTTTATTGCATATTTTATCTCCACTATTGTTTGTGGAGATAAAATATGATTACCAATATCTCTTTGCAAACTTGCTAGTGTTGCCAGACGTTTGACTGTACCACCTATCCCATCACAAGGTTGCTTACCGTGACTAGTTGCAAAAAAGTTCCATTTAGCAGTAAAACCAAAATTTTCACAATGAAAACAAAGATTTAACATATTTTTGCAATTCTTATATTGACCTGCACACCCATCTGAAAAGTATTCAATATTTTTTATTTGAGGCAAATTTGTTTTTATATCATTGCAAACAACCTCAATAACTTTATAAACCATGTTTACATCATGGATCATATCCGAAATAATACAATAGGATTTGTGCTTGAGAATGTCTTCTTTTTTGAAATAAATAATCACTGGATGAAGTGTACAGTGTATTGTAAATTTGTCCAATGAAAGCTTTGCACTTCATCCTGAACTACAAATTTATAGTTTTCTGAAAAATCACCCAGAAATAATGCTGTTACCTCATTCATATCTTCCTTTCTTGATCTCAGGTATAATGCTTGATTCTTTGCTAAATACGAATGTGGTGCAAGTTTTTCCAGTTATCTACATACTAGTTCAATGTATTCAAACATTGGCTTATTATTATGTGTCAAGTTTGACCTATCTGTTGTTGTCCATTGATCAAATTCAATCTCATCATCATCTTCAAATTCTCCAAGTGTTCCATAAAGTTTTTCAACCAATGCATTCATAGTTGCTGGGCATTTTTCAAATTTCCTCATCATACAGTCTTTATTAGTTATATCACAGACAATATAAGGTAACAATTCTTTGTATGTCACACCAAGAGGATGTAAAAGCAGTTTCAAATTCTGATGAATAGCACAGACGCATACAGAATGTGTTCCTGAAGCACCAACAGTAATACACCATTTAGGTCGCAAGGTGCAAAACCTTGAAAATCCTATTTCTATTTCTGGGTTCTTGGTTTTAAAGGCAACAAACAGTTCCTTTAAATTACATAAGAGCAAACGTTTTTGCTCTTGGACATTTTTCTTTATGCTTACATAGTCCTTTTTACCAGGCATTATACAGCTATGATCATCGTCTTCGTAAAAGGTCTTGACCAGTTGAACTGTTACATCAGGAAGAGCTTTTCCTAATTTAGGATTAGGCACGATTAAAATACCTTTTTCTAATGTTAACTTGCGTGCAGTTCGAGCTACATAGTTGTAATGTATGTACATAGTATGTAATGTTTCAAATACCTTTTTTATTGACCAGTCTGTTGGAGCAAGTGTCGCAAGTTGTACTTTTTTTGGTGTTGATGTAGACTCTGCAATCTTGTTAGTTAACAATACCATCATGTTATCAAACAAGTTTGCTTTTTCCATATACTCATTATTAAAACTTGACTGTTCTTCAAAACTTTCTTCTGATATATTAAGGGAAATGGCTACCTTTTTTTTAATGGAGCTTGTTAATGCTGTAAATTTTCGTTTACCTTCTCTGATTTTACCTGACTTGTGCAATCTTTTGACCTTAATTGGAGATACTCCGGCAGATGCAAAGTGTGTATCTACACTTTCTTTTTTATTTTGAATGGATCTGTCATTAACAATATCAAAATCTTCATCATTTTTATTTTCAGTTATACTTTTTGATAAACATGTCATAACTTTACTTCGACAGGTTGGACACAGTTTTTTTCCAGGTATAAGATTTAAACCTATGGTTTCTGGTTCTAGCACAGTATGCATTGTAATCACATAGAGATGCTTAAAAAGAAAGTAGTTACATTACTTAAATAACATTAATTATATATATTATGTAATTATATTACTATACAATTTGTTATATTAATAACTATGAAACATTGAACAAATCTTATTACCAAAATAACTTCTTATTACCAAAATATGACTTATTAATAATGATATTACCTAATGAAGTATAAATATATAAATTTTTACCTCTACATACCTTTTGGTGACTAAGAAATGGATTACATCAACTTTTCTGATTATCCTCATATTTTACAGCTAACATATCATGATGGTGTGTGCATATATTAGTAAATTGTTCTTGTTTCAGATTTGTTCGTTTTTCAAGTAGCTTATGATCATTACTGTCAATATCTTCAATCAGATTTCTTTCTTGAGTATATGATTGTTTATAATAAGCTCCATAATTATTTACAAAGCAGCAATTAATTTTGTTATCCATATAAAAATATAATGAGGAATCTCTGTCTAAACAAATAATCTTAATGTCCCTAACAAGAAAAGTACACTTGAACACAAACAATATCAAATAATCTTAATGTCCCTAACAAGAAAAGTACACTTGAACACAAACAATATCAAATCAATATGTATTTATAAAGAACATATTGCTTGAACAAGTAGCTATTAGTTTAATAGGCATATTTTAAATGCCTAACTATCTACTAATTATTGTAAATTCTCCATTAACTACTTACAAAAAGTTGTGTAAAAGTAAAAGATAACTAAATTGTAAATTTTATTTAGTTATGTAACTTAACATGGTAATGTTAATTAGACATTATTATATCATTTTATTACTTTTTTTATTGATGATAATAAATGTTTTATTACAGCAAAACAATCAACAACAAAAGTTACATAATATTGTTAAATTTAATGACATGATATTATGTAATGAAAATGATATTATTATTATGTAATGAAAGTAAAAAGAAACAATCTTTTAAAATGTTCAACTATGTTTTGTAATAACTTTGTAAATTTTTTACAAAGCTATTACAAAACAAAAGTAATTGTATTTGCATTCAAAATATGTTTGCAAATTTTTTTTTTTGCAAAATCTCTTTAGAAAAATTGAAAAACTAAAACATCAATCACTCCTTGACAAAACATAAGGCCAAATAAAAATTGGTTCGCAAAGTAGATATATGTTTAATATTTAAAATAACGAAAACCAAAACTTTTTTTCATCAGTCAGATTTTTTCTAGAACTATAGTTGTCAACGGCTTTTTTTATTGTCATTAACAAGTGCGTTTTGTGGATCTAAAAATAAACTATATTTTATTGTTTTGAGAGATATAAGTTTATGATTTTCAGATTCAGCAGGTTTTAAAGTCCTTTGGTACCAAGTTTTAGCTTCGCAACATTACTACAAGTTTGTTAAAAGGATAATGGTAAATTGACATAATTCCGGCTTTATCCCCCCTCTTTTTTCAGTCAAAAAATAACTAACTTCAAGTTGCTGTAAATCTTAAAGGGTTGAGAATTTTTTGAAAAAATTTTACAGTCTTTCCTAACTTATATCTTGAAACATTTGTGCCAAATTTTAGCGAATTTGGTGATGCAGGGTGCAACCCCTTGTTTTTTGAGAAATTTTTACCCTAATATTACTACTACTACTACTACTACTACTACTAATAATAATAATAATAATAATAATAATAATAATAATAATAATAATAATAATAATTACATATTGACGTTTTAATGAATTTATTTAGGTTCAAACTGGCTTTGGTCGTCTTGGTAGTCACTATTGGGGCTTCGAATCAATGGGTGTTATGCCTGATATGGGTAAACTTTTTTTCAATGAGATCAGTATTTATGTTTTCGAATGTTTATTTTCATTTATGCACATATTCTGTCTTTGTATATTCAAAAATCTGCAGAAACGTTTGAGGTGAAATTTTATTATTAACAATGACAATACTAAAATTCATTTCTATAGTAACATGTGCTAAAAGTATAGCTAACGGCTTTCCGATGGCTGCTTTAATAACAACACCCAAGATTGCAGAAACAATGAAGTCTGCAGTTACTTTCAATACATTTGGAGGAAATCCAATGGCTTGTTCCGCTGCATCTGCAGTTCTAGATGTATGCTATATACTTGCAATAATTACTTAATAAAAAATAGGTTTAATTTGATTTATAATTAAAATGTATTTTTTCGACCAATCAAATCTTATTTACTTTTTTAAGATTATTGATGAAGAGGGTCTCATGCATAATTCAGACGTTGTAGGAACATTTTTCTTAAACCAGCTTGATACCTTACGTAAGGAGTTTGATATAGTGGGTGATGTCAGAGGTAAAGGGTTAATGATTGGAGTTGAAATGGTCACAGATAAGGTATTTGTTGTTTTTCTTACAGTTCGTATTGTGTCTGAAAAACTAAATATGATAAAATGAAATAAATATTAAATAATAAAAATAAATAATTATTAAAGTTAATAAATATTTTTTATTATATTTTACTTTTTAATACAATTTTGATTTATTGTAAAAAAGTATCGTTTGTGATATTTTTGTTTTGTTTTTTGTTTTGTCGTTTTTACCGATTGTTTATTATGTTTGAAAAACGATTTTTTTTTAAATTTACCTTTGTTCTATATTTTATATATTAGGCTAGCCGTAAACCGCTTCCTCCAGCACTAATGTTAGATATATGGGAACGAACAAAAGATTATGGAGTTCTGTTTGGTAAAGGCGGAAGATTTGGCAATGTACTTTTTTACTATTTAAATATTTTACCAAAAAAGTAGAAAATTAAATCTTTAACAATTTTCATTTCGATTTTATTTTAGGTTTTTCGCATAAAGCCCCCAATGTGCATTACTAAAGAAGACGCGATCTTTGCCACTGCAGTTCTTCGACAGTCTATCAAAGATCATCTACAAAATATCTAAAAAAATTTTGCTTTATTATAGCGTTATATTTTATTCTTTTTTTTCTTTCACATTAGAAAACTTACTACATTACCTCTTGAATTTTTTTTTACTATTGAGAGTTGTTAAAAAATTTGTAAACTTATAAATTTTTATATAATATATTTTATATAGTTTATATAATAGATAAAAAAATTTTATTGATTTAAATTTTTTATATATATTCTTTTAAAGTAACGAGGGCTAAATTTCAAGCGACCCGGCAAAGTAAATAAAAAGCGGCCCTAACTTAATGACTTTTATTATCCTTGGTCATTTAGTACATCTGAGTAAACCGAGCCTAAGGGCTTCAAAAGTCGCAAATTATAATATTTAATTATGAAGTAATATACGAAAGTTTTATAGGAAAAAATCGAAATATAGTTTATAATTATTATATTTAGTCATAATATCAGAAATTCTGTTTTTTAATTTACTTCCGCTAATTTCAAAAAAAACCCATTACAAATTAGTAAATAGTTATAAATCAAAGATAAACCTTTGATTAATGAGATTGCCACAAGTAGTATGCGTTAGCGTTGAAAATTTCCGGAAATCTTCAACCATAGAATTTTGCAGAACAAGTAACATAAGAAATAAGAAACAAACAAATTAATAGTTTGTTTGTTCTAATACTTGTCCCGCAAATTATTAGGGTTGAAAATTTCCGGAAGTTTTGCCGAAATTTTCAACTCTAGTATGCGTACAGTTTAAAGGTGAGTTTCCACTCATCCTTTTATCTATGGGAAAAGGAACGTAAAAATAATCACGTGAGCATGCGCAGTTTTCTTTTGGACAAATAACTTTTATTACGCATGCTCACGTGATTATTTTTTCCTTTTCTATCCCGTTCCCGTAAAAAAACGGATGAGTGGAAACGCACCTTAAAACAACGTACAACAATCTCTTCTAATCAACAGTTGTTGTTTTTTTTGTTGTTGTTGTTGTTTTGTTTGTTTGTTGTTGTTGTTTTTTTTGGGGGGAGGGGGTAAAATTCTGAAGAAAAATATAGATTGTACATATATACTAACAGAAAAAAAAAAGTTATAAGACTTTTTTAAAAGTATAAACATTTATCTATAGAGTTAGAAACAAAAAAATTATTTTTGTGACCTTTTAAATATACAAAAATAAAAGATTTCAGAAAAAAAGGCATGTTTCAAAATTTCGAAAGTAGTAGAGAGTATTTCGAGAGGACACATCGTTTAACCATGATTTACCTCTTTTTTACCAGTGTGACACAAATATAATATATTTGTGTTCTCAACGCATTTTTAAAAAATTCGCGTTTAAAAATTGTCTCTAATATAAGGAATCCGAATGGTAATGCCATCATTTAAAAATATAAACATAAGTTTTTTACTAACAAAATAAACACTTTAAAAATACTTTTTTCAATCATCATGTTTGATTCACATGTTAATTTTCATTAATATGTGAATCAAATATGATGATTCATCGCTCTTCTGGTGGTGGGAAACAATATCTTGCACTCCCAGACGATCTGGTGGTGGGAAACAATATCTCGCTCTCAGACAATCGTTTCGGCATATTATGATAGATATTTTGCATATCCCATATTTTCACTCAAATAATTTATATACTCAAAAATATTTATTGTCTACAAAAACATGCGTGCAGAATCATTTACTATAAAAATATAAAAAAGCGTGAACATACTAAACCTTTAATGAAAGATATGAAAATAATGGATGTTTTTGAAATAAATATCTATCAGCATTTAATTTTTATGTATCAATTTTAAAAAAATATCTCCTCTGCAAACTTTAATAACAAGTTTGAAATAAACATAAATGAAAATTATTATCTAAGAGCAAATATAAGTAACACATATAAACTGCCTCAAAACTTTAATAAATATACTTAGTATAGCACTGCATGTCGAGGATCAAATATATGAAATAGTTATCAAAAAGGATTTAAATGTATGGCAAAGTCATTAAGTTTATTTAAGTTTCTCAAATTTTTAAAATTTGAGAATCTTTTGTGCTTAAAGGAATCACCAAGGAATTTTTTTTTTTTTTAATATTTTTAATTTTTTTATATTTTATTTTTATTTGATTTACTGATCAGCGCAGCAGTTTTATGCTGATTAGGGTTTTTAATTTAATACTTATATTCTATGAAAAGTATTTATAGGGGCTCTATGAAAAGATTGCGATGACGTGTTGTCATCTTCATTTTCTTTGAGCCCCTATCTGTTTAACTCTTTATTTTATAAAGATCATTGTAAAAAGAAAAGTGTATAATTTATACTGTATATACAAAAACGGTGCTTGTTGACAAGATTTTACTGTCTTCTTTGTTTTACGAACATATTTTTTCTTTCTGGTATATATATTTGTTTGATTATTTATTGAAAAATTTACAGCAAAATAATTGTGAACAAAAAAAATATTTTTATAGTATTCAAAATTACATAGCTTCTTTAGTTTAAGCTGTACATCAAGTGTCCGGAATTACCCGCCGTCCGGGGCTACCTCAATATCCCCTAAAGTAAAGCATTAAAAATATACAAATTGCAAATGTTATACAAAAATACAAGTGTTTTATACAGAGCCGTGGCTAGACTTCCCCTCAACCCCACCCCCTCCCTAACCACACACACACGTGTTATATAGTTAGACCTACAAAAATCTCGACCTAATAAGTTGTTCTACAAAAAGAACATCAACTAAAAGGTGGAACTAATTTTCAGATGATTTACTGAGGCCTAAGTTGTTTTTAACCAATTATAGTCTTTTTTATTTTCAACCGGTTTATGACATTTTCTTTTTTGACCGATTTATTTTTCGACCTATTTTATAGATTTTCATTTTCAACCAATTTGAGATAATTTAATCAATCAATTATCTGGTCTGTATTTTTAACTACGATATTTATTTTTTTAAATTAACAATCGATAAGTTTTCCAAGCATTCATCAAACCTTATACCTCCCGATTCTGAAGACAGCGCTTCAACCACTGCGCCAAGGCTGATCAAATTTGGCTCGTATTTAAATTAACAATAAAATATTCAAAATACATACCGGAATAACGTAGTTTTATTACTTTTAAAATTAAGCTGAAAAAAGTTATCTTTTCAATTGATAATATCTTTGAGTTCTTTTGAGTTTATACCTTTTAAACATGTGTGTGATTCCTGAATATATTGTTTTATTTTGAAATATTTAGTTTTACATATATTCTTTATGTTGTTAAACCTTGTTTCGTACAATGATATTTATACCATAATATATTGTAATAAGAACTAAAAAAACAAAACAAAAAAAAGTTTCAAAATTGAAAATACAGTAGGTTGAATATTTAGGGTAACGCGGGGCAAAATGAGACACGGGGCAATACGAGACAGTTTGCGTTTAACATTTTTTTTTTTTTTACAACAATTATTATATATTTCAAAAACAAATACTTACATGACTCCAGTTTATATTAATGTCCACCACACATATTTGCAATATCTAAAGAGCGTTAACAATGCTGTTTCACTCTTGGCGCATTACAGTGGGTAGGAAAGTTAAGTGAAAAACAAAAAAAAAAACAAAAAAAAAAAAGTAAAAAATCGTGGTTTATAATATAAAGTGCTGGCTATTAACCCGTGTATTTAAAAAATATACGCAAGTCCGTCGCACGACAGGGCTACTAGGGACTTGCTTGTGGTTATCGTTAAAAAAATATATTAATATATCATAATAACAACATATTTCCTTACAACAACATATTTCTATGTTGTTGTAAGGAAACTCGCAGAAGACTAAGAGAAGTCTTTTCATACCTTTAAAATGCAAAATGAACAAAAATTTTAAAGAGTAATTTCACAAAACACACATTAACTTTTGAGGTCCACTGTTCAGTAATATTTTACTATGTATAGTTGCTACTATATTTATTATTATTATTATTTTTTTTTATTTATTTTAAAATTTAAATTGTTCTTGTTACATTTATTATATTCATTTTCTTTTACATTTAATACATATCGATAAAATTGGTTTTGTTAATTATGAGATCTTTTAATTTTTTTTAAGGATAGTAAGATTATCTACTTTAGTAAGTTCTATATTTTGAGAGATTATTTTGTTGTATAAGTAGGGGCCACGGTATGCAATTGAAAGTCTTGAAAATTTTGTTTTTTTAATGGGCAGGGTGAAATTTCCTGTTCCTCTTGTGCTTTATCTGTTGGCGTAGGTTTGAAAAAAGTTATTAGTAAAATGAGGTGGGACAAGAAATTTGAGCATAAATAAAATATTTTGGTAGATGTTAATTTGATAGACATTTAACGCATTCATGTTTTTAAGTAAAGGATCGGCATGAGTGAATATTTTTATTATAAATCAATCTTGATGCGTGTTTCTGGTGTACATATAGAGAATTTAATTTAGATTTATTTGTACTTCCCCAGGCAATATTAGCATATGTTAAATAACTTTGTATATAAGAAAAGTAAAGACTTTTGGGATTTTTCTGGGAAAGTAAAGGTTTGACTTTGTAGAGTATGTCGATACTTTTTGATATTTTTGTATTTAATGTATTTATATGGGCTTTCCAAGAAATCGTTTCGTCAATAATTATCCTAAGAAATTTAACGGTTTTAGTTCTTTCGATATTTATGTTATCAATTTTTAGTAATGGTAGCATTCTTGGTATATTATTTTTTTGATGGTTGGAATGAAACAAGATGTATTTTGTTTTTTCTGTATTTAAAGATAATTTATTTACTTTAAACCAGGTGTTTAGCTTCTCAAGGTCATCGTTCACAGATTCAAAGAGATTTTCAATTGATGCTGATGAATAAAACAAATTTGTGTCATCAGCAAACATTACTGCATCAAGTTTTTTTAGGGATAGTGGAAGATCGTTAATATAAATTAAAAATAAAAGAGGGCCAAGAATGGAACCTTGGGGAACTCCGCAGTTTAATTTCTAGTAAATTTGAATATTTATTATCGTTCAAAATAACGCATTGTTATCTGTTGCATAAATAACTTTTAAACCAATTCAGGGTAGTATTTTTTATTCCGTATTTTTCCATTTTTTTAAGTAGGATATCATGATTAATTGTGTCAAATGCTTTGGATAGGTCTATAAATGTTCCTAATACAAATTGCTTTTTATTAAAAGAATCACTTATACTATTAACTATATT